TCAACGGCGCTACAACAACAACAACAACCTGCATCAACCAAAACTTGTACCTCCGTTCTGTCATCTCTGCAAGACTTCAGGGCACCCTCGCACACACTGTCCGAATTTACAGCAGCCAACACCGCCGCAACGCCAACTTCGTTCTTCAAGTAGTCAAGTGGAGTCCACACAAGCGCTCCCCACAGGACAACTGTAGTCCTCAACGACATCGTCAACGCAATCTACACAAGGAACAAGAAACATCATCAGCTGCATGGCAAGACTGACTCACTCCTGCATAACCGAGTCACCACCACACTACTCACCGGAAGAGCAACTCGACAACAGCACCCCTCGCAGCGAGTCACTTCAACCAAACCCAACGTATGCAGCCATCGCTCAAAGCGAGCCGTCCGGGAAAGATACCTGGTTCTTGGACAGTTGGTGCGGACAGCACATGTGCTCTTCAGGTCGCTTCGTTCAACGCGAACACCAACTTCAACGCGAAGTCGTCATCACCGTCGCCAACAACCAGAACCTGCGCACATGACAAGGCGTGGTGCAACTTCAGTCACGAGAGACAAATGTCATATTGCAGATGTCAAAAGTGTTAATTGCGGAGGGACTTGGCTACAACTTACTAAGCGCCAGTCACCTGATGGCGAAAGGCATCCACCTCGAAGCAGACAGCAAAACACAGGAGTTCAAGCTGTACCACAGAAGAGGAGGCCTCTACATCGGCAAGGCCGTGCTGAAGAACAACGTGTTTGTTCTCGACTTTGTTCCAGATCTAGGCACCGCCGACAGCGAAGGAATTGTCACCTTCACCTTCTGGACGCACCCACCGGATCTTGATCCTGACTTCAGCCCCGAAGGATTCTGGTACTCGCACACCATTCCTGAGGCAGAACGAACAAGAGCATTAGCAACAATTCAATCGACAGCAGCAGAGACAACATCGGCAGCAGCAGAGACAACATCGGCAGCAGCAGAGACAACATCGGCAGCAGCAGAGACAGCATCGACACCAATCGCAGGTCCTTCAACTACACCGGCTCCAATCGACTCCACCGACTCCTGCGCAGCAACTGAATCCAACACCACGAGAAGTACATCGAAGCGCAAACTTCACCGCAAGCTTCTACTCCAACTCCGACTTGTACCATCGCTCTCCCGGACATCGAGCTGGCAAAGACATCTGGCACGCACGAATGGGACATCCAAGCAATACAGTGTTAAATAACACAATCAGAGCAGGAGTGCTCGACAAAGACTCACTGCTCCTAAACGACGGAAGCGAACTTCGACGAGCTCGCGGAAAGTGCTTTACCTGCCTCGAAGCCGACTTACCACATCGGCCGTTTGCTTCTCACCACAACCCCAGCGCACCAGCTTACGCACCACTTGAGAAAGTGTACAGCGACATCCTGTACAACCGCGAACTTGGACAAGGAGCATACAGCTACACCATCACGTTCATCGATGCCGCCACGCGTTATGTTTGGCACCTCAGCCTTCCGAGCAAGGACATGGCTTTCAAGGCCTTCGTTGCTTGGCTCGTAGTAGCAGAATGAGAATCAGGCGTGAAGCTAAAAAGCTTCCAGTCAGACGGAGGAGGAGAATACACCTCACAAAGATTCAAGCAGTACTTGGCAGAAAGAGGGATCAAGAGGCTCATTTCCATTCCCTACGCTCACCAGCAGCAAGGCGTAGCAGAAAGGATGAACAGGACTTTCCAAAACACCATGCGCAAGCTACCACGTGGCATGCGGCTACCCAACCACCAGTGGGCCGAAGCAATGGACCACGATGTCATGCTGCACAACTTGCTCTCGTCATCATCGCTCCCGAACAACGCATCACCGCACCTTCTGTGGACAGGAAAACAGGGCAGCACAAAAATGTTAAGAGGTTTCGGCTGCATGGTACAGTACCGACCCCCATCTGCACGAGCTGGCCAGTTCTCCCAACGCGCACAGTGGGGACTACACCTGGGCATTGAAATAAATTACAACGCGTGGAAGATTTTCGACATCCACTCCAAGGAAACAGTAGCAGCACGTGATGTAATTTTCTACGAACGACTCACCCTTCCGACATACCTTGCCAATCTGGAAGAAGATCGGGACCCCACAGGTGGCTTCCGTGGTGACCGAGCCTTCGCCTCGGCAACAGACGAAGCCGACTAGGACGAGCAGAACGTGGATGAAGCCTCGGAGGAAGCTGGACCCCTCCCTTACTACTCTGTCGACGTCCCCATGGATGACGAAAATCCTCGCAAAAGCGCCAACACCGAAGTATTTTACCACTTCGCCGACAACGGTTACGTTACACCTGCAAGAGTCAACACCAACGAAGCAGAACGCATAGGGCCCAACTTCATACCTGACCCAGAAGCAGGTGACAAAGCAGCTTATCCCGAGGACACAACACTCCCCCGCTACACACAGAGTGGCCTCCAGATACTCGGCCTCGTCACTGCGGTCCACGGCACGGAGATTCCTAAGGAGCCTGCCACAGTTCAGCAAGCTCTTGGGGGGGAGCATAAGGAAAAATGGAGCGAAGCCATGGACAAGGAGCTGAAAGGACTGGAAGAACGGAACACCTGGAAAGTCGTTCCCATCGGCGTGGCACGCAACAAAACAGTACTCACCGGAAAATGGGTCTTCCGTATGAAGACAAAGGCAGACGGTACCATCGACATATTTAGCGCGCGCTGGGTCGTGCGCGGCTTCGACCAAGAGCACGGACGTGACTTCACCAAGACCTTCGCCCCGGTCAAACGACGCACTTCACTCCGAATTCTTCTCGCGATCGCTGCCATGAAGAAGAAGAAGCTACGGCAAATCGGCGTCGCCAATGCATTTCTCTATGCACCTGTTGACGCCGAAATCTTCGTCGAACTTCCACACGGCTCCAACGGAGAGCCCAACCAAGTCTGTCAGCTGCTAAAGTCCCTGTACGGAATCAAACAGGCCCCAAGACTGTGGCAATAGTATCTACACGCTCGACTCACTCGCATCGGATTCCGACAGCTACCACACGACCAGGGCATGTATCGGCTCACAAAAGGCGACGACTACATCTTACTGATCGTCTACGTGGACGACCTGCTTTACATCGGCTCGACTGACGGCATCACTACTTGGTTCGAAGGGGAACTGCAGCAAGACCTCACTCTCACAGTGTCATCAACCGTCACGCAATACCTCGGCCTTAACATCCAAGAAGAGGAAGGCGCGATCTATCTCAACGCCGCGAAATATGCTGACACTATCGCCAAACGCTTCGGACTCACCCCGATCACCATCTCCACGCCATACCGCTACACCGCAGGAAATCACAAGGAAAGATCCGCTCTACTCAAGCCCGCAGGCATACGCGACTACCAGAGAAAGCTGGGGTGCCTCCTCTTCGCGGCCGTCTTCTGCCGTCCGGATCTATTGTACTCTGCGATTCAACTCGCCACCTACCTCAAAAGGCCCGAGGCAGAACATATGGCGGAGCTCGACCGCACTCTTCACTACCTCGTTAGCACTCCAACGATCGGTCTGTGACCTATCACAAGAACGGAACCTCGACACCTAAGTTAATCGGCTACGTCGACGCCGATCACGCTGGCGACTCCGACAACAGACGCTCGCGCACTGGCTACATCTATCGCCTCGAACCTATCGGACCCATCTCGTGGCAGTCAAGCAAGCAGGAGTTAATCGCCCTCTGTTTTGCTGAAGCAGAATATACCGCACTCTGCTCAGCCACCAAGGAAGGACTTTACATTCGCGAACTTCTGGAGGAAGCGAAGCTGGCTCAGTTACCCAACTTCTCCTTGTTCTGCGACAACCAGTCGGCAATTCGCATAGCCAACAAAAATGGATTCGCGAACAAAACGAAGCACATTGCCCTACAATATTTCTTCGAGAAGGGGAGACTCAAGCTGTCCTACTGCCCCACGTCTGAGATGGCAGCTAATTACTTGACCAAGAAACTCGGAAAGCAGAAGTTTGAGTACTGCATGCTGCTAACTGGACAGAGCCACGTCACCAGCAGCTTCACTCCAGAAGCGAAGGGGAGTGTTGGAAAGAAGTAACTTAAGCGCCTCTATCGTGTCAAAACACTAAGTTATAAGCGAATCGAAATACAACGAAGCATCGGCAAGTTAACCCTCGGAGGTTGAACAACTGCTGGAGGTTACGCGAAAGTCAAAGGTCAGCGACCTTTGACCTGACAAGAACAGCGCGACAGCAAGGACGAACAACTGACTCGTTATTGAGCAGTTGCCCGAGTCGTCACTGTATCGAACCGCAACAGCAACAGCAAAACAGTTATTAGTTATAACCCTTCATATTCCCTTGTACTCTTATAAAAGCTTGTATCTCATTGTTTTAATCAATCCACTTTGCCCTCACATACCGGCGCAAGGTGGTTCACAAACTTGTCACTAAACGCTTCCGCTATTACATTGTCATACTCCGAATTAAGTCCTGCAAAGATCCTAAGGGCTTTTCTCAGCCCAACACCCCCCACCCGCCCCCCCTTCTCCTTCCTCTCCCTGCTGCACGTGCAGCCTTGGGGTGGAGGGTATGGGGGTGGCGGGTGTGTGAGCCGTCCCCTGCTCCTCCTCCTCCGTCCCCCACTGCTGCTGCTGCCGGTGTGGCTGCCTCTAGCTTTCCTTGTGCTTGTGAACTTCTTATGCGACTGCTTGCTGTGCTGATCATATCCCACTTTGCCTATAGGGGTGTGTCAGAATGCTATAATTGTCTAATCTGTAGCAGGATACTGTATAGTGAGTACAACCCAAATTAGGGTTTGCTATATGTATCCTATGTGCTGCTAGTGAAACCCCTAACTTTCTGCCTAGTATTCTGACAATTTATCCATCAGGTATTATGTAGCATTTTTCTATGAGGAAACCCCCCCCCCCCCCCCCATTTTTCCCTGTATTTTTAGCTATACCCTATGGTGTTATGTCCGGGAGAGAACGGTACTTCTCCCTACGTCCCTTGTTGTGCTACTCTTTCCTACGATATTGAGGCAAGGGCATCGTTCAAACTGTCCTCGCTAATCTGACTCTGATACTGCATCTTCTCCTGGAGTTCAGCATCCACCTTCATGTAAGCCTTGTGCACCTGCTCCTCTCCACCGCACACCTCAGCACGCAGCACATCCATCTCCTGGGCAATGCGCCCCATGGAGGGCCGGTCGGCAGTGAAGGTGGCACAGCAGCGTACCGCCAGGTCTGCCATACGCTGCAGGGCGTGTGGGGGAACAGGGCCCATGCGGGGATCTGCAATCTCTTCCACTGACCCCTCGCACAGCTTCTCCTGAACCTGTGGGTGTTGGGGGATGAGTGGTGAAGTGGGGTGGGAAGAGGTGGAAGGACATAAGAGAAGGTAAACAAAGCACATTGGTAGCGGTTGCTGGAGGTGGGAGGGGAAGGGAGAGGGGGAGGTTGGGGAAGGAGGAGGGACAGAGTGGGTGCACTTGAGAGGCAAATGATAGAGCTGAAAAGAGAGGGATAGGGAAAAGGGAGGGAGAGATGAGAATGCAGGAGGAGGAAGACATGCATACCCAGTCAAGGATGTTCCATGAGCGGCTGTCCGCTTCAAAGGTCACACGCCTGCCCGTGAGCATTACCAGCATCAGAATTCCAAAACTGCCATATGCATGCACACATATGCGCGCGCACACATACACACACTTAAACATATGCACACACAGATGCATATACATAGCAAAAAGGTGCAAAGATGCAAGATGGCAAGCAAGCAGATACATCTTATTCACCAGAGGAGATGAGCTATTTGCCACACATGCGGCGACAAGGCCTGGACCAAACAACAAGAATGACCGCAACACATTTATGTCGATGTGTGTGCCACTCCCAATGCACACCTATACACATCAGTCGCAGTAGTGGCCTTCTGCGTGTGAGAATAAGCCGGGTCGACATAGCCCGGTGTGCCCATCACCTGCGTGGCTTGCACGGTGCTGCCCCCCTCCACTCGCACGAGACCAAAATCCGCCACCTTGGGCTGCTCACAGGGATGATAGGGGTATGCGCGGATGGGTGGGTGCGTGGATGGATGGACGGACGGACGGACGGATGGACGGATGGATGGACGGATGGATGGATGGATGGATGGATGGACGGACGGACGGACGAATGGATGGACGGATGGACGGATGGATGGACGGATGGATGGATGTATGGATGGATGGATGGATGGATGGATGGATGGATGGATGGATGGATGGATGGATGGATGGATGGATGGATGGATGGATGGATGGATGGATGGATGGAGGGACGGACGGACGGGCAAAAGGCATGCAATATATTGTTCGAGGTACAATTAAAATCGTTGAGGGCAGCAGACAGTGCTACTGCGTCTTGACTATCACCTGCATGTTGGTATCCAGCAGGATGTTGGCAGGCTTGATGTCTCGGTGCACGATGTCAAAGCCATGCAAGTAATCAAACCCACGCGCTGCTCCCACTATGACGCCCAACCGCTGCTCCAGCGTCAGGGGTGAGGGCGCGTTTGCACAGCCACACAATGCACATGGAAATGGAGGGATGGTACGAGGGCGGGGGGGGGGCTGTGGCACTGCATGACATGAGGATCTTTTGTTGTTGTTTCCGAGTCAGGAGTGAGATGCAATCAGGTGTGTGGGGCAAGAGGGGGGAGAATAGAGGAGGAAAATCGAGCTACTGGTTGATTGGAGGGGGGAGGAGAGGAGAGAGAGCAAGGTGCAAAGGGAATAGAGGCAAGAGATGGGTGGAGAATACAAGAGCGTGACAAGAGCGACGTCTATTGAGGGAAGAAGACAATGGATGAAGAACCAGAAAGAAGTTGCTTCAGCGCCTTCTTCTCAAACCATGCACACTACTGGCCCCACCTTAAACTCCCCTCCCTCTCCCATCCCGCCTCTGTTGACTACTAATAGGATCTAGAAACTCTACACACTTCCTTTAATTCACACCAATTAGTTCCCACGGGTCACCTCCAAGGGTCCTCGGGTACCTGGCTGGCAAAAAACCAACTCCTAACGAAGGGTCCGTGTTTTGTATAGGGACACATAAAGTCTAAAGGCAACGGCGTGCACTAGAGCACTCTCAAAACTCCTTTGCGCAGCGTTGACGACGAATTGGCTCGTGTGCAAAATGAGCTCTTCACGTCAATACGTTGATAGGGCTAAATATTCACTCGAAAGGATTGATTACAACTTCGCACAAGCACACAAGTTTTATCAAAGCCTACTCACACACAAAGGAAATCACAAGGCAGATGTTTAACAAGATTCATGACTTCGCTAGATGTGCCAAGGAAAATGGTTGTTGAACTGCTGCGGAATTTGGTTTGATTCTCCGCTGTAGAACAAATGCCTTCAAATTTCATGTTTGCCAAAAGTCCCTGCCGACTCGCTCCACGAACACTCATAAGTTTGCATGGGTACTTATGAACATTCGTGTGGGATTATCGTTCTTCACAAAGCCCTCCAGTTACTTTACGGTTTTCCACCGTTTTTCCTTGTATGGAAATTGTCACGTTATGGGCGTAATATTTTTAACAAAATCATTTGTTCGCCGAGTCAATGCAGGATTTGTTTTTTCAACCAAAATCCCGAGCACCCCTTGACCGCAATCATGCACGACCGATATTTCAATCGTGCTGTACAGTTTGATCGCATCAGCGATCGTACGCACCGTACAGCGCGAACATGCGCTGTCCTGCGCGCGGACAGGGCGATCATTCGCCCTGTCTTGTTGCGATCGCTGGCCCTGCCATGCTTGCAACAGTGCAAGGGCACACGCGCGGGCCTGAGTGCCCACACGCACGATCAGGACCCCACACGTGGGTCTTGATTTTCCCGCTCGGTTGACCTTGTCCAGCGCGAGAAATATCTCGCGAGCACCCACAACTCCTCACGAACACGCGCAAACATTAACGAAGAATGCACAAACATTCACGAAGAACACACAAACATTCACGAAAAATAAACTAACATGAACGCTCACAGAAATTAATGAACAACGCATTGACTTCAGGAAATTTCACCAACACACATACGAACAAAAGAATTCACCAACTGTTGAGGCGATTCACAAGCCGTAAACACACAAACGTAACGCACAAAAATGCGCAACTCACACGGAACAAATTATTTTCAAACAAAACACTTCAATTTCACCCACCTTTGCTAAGCCACTTGTCGAGGTCCCCATTGGGGATGAACTCATACACGAGGATCTGCTCGATGCGCTCCCGCAGGTCCCCACACGTGGCGTAGCCCAGCAGCCGCACCAAGTTGGGGTGGTGCTTCGACGCCATCTCACTCACCTGGCATGTGAGGGTGAGCAAGATGCGGTGAGAAGCTCGTGATGGGGGCTGCTTCTGTGGTCAAAACAGGAGCCACATTTTTCATGCCCCAACACGAGCTATGTGCGAGTCCAACACCAGATATGGGCTGAAATCAAATGGCCCATACTTTTGCTTCCAGACATGACAACCTACCTACCTACCTACCAACCTACCTGCCTACCTACCTCTCTCTGGAAACCTGACAACAATCCATCGCATTCAAGTTAACCCATGGCTGCCCATACATATAGTGTGTAACACGCTTGCACCTCTCGCTGGAAGTCGTTGGTGATCACTGTGGCGCGCTTCACAGCCCAGAGCGTGGTGCCATCGAGGGGCGACACGCCCTTGAAGACGTCCCCGAAGCCCCCCGACCCCAGCAGGTTGGCTTTCGACCAGTTGTTGGTGGCCTGCTCCATCTCCTTCATCGTATACTCCACACACACGCCCTTTGCCAGTGCTCCTGCACCGTGCACTCAAGTGTTCCATGTGTTATTTCCTCAAGAGAGAACACCATCTGGCTTCTTCAAATGCAACCAAGAAGCATTCGAGCAGGCCTTACCGAAGCGAGAGACTTTGTTCCTCCGGCGAAGGAAGAAGAGGATGGCGAGCAACAGTGGGAGCAGCAGCGCCACCACCCCACACACGATGCCTATGATTACCCCCGTCGATAAGCTGCTGCCGCTGCCGCTGCTGCTGCTGCTGCTGCTGCCGCCGCCGCTGCTGTCGCTGCTGCTGCTGCTGCTGTCGCTGCCGCTGCTGCCACTGCTGCTGCTGCCACAGCCGCTGCCGCTGCTGCTGCTGCTGCTTTTATTTCCACTGCTTCCCGCTGGTAGCTCTGTGTGGGGTTTGGACACTGACATGCGGAGGAACATGTGCAAGGGGAGGAGGGTTGTGTGCGACGCGACTTGGTGTGGGAGGGAAGATACGTCAAACAAACTGTCAATCCATGGAAAGTTATACCTGCAGTGCACATAACCAACGATCCTGCATGCGCGCTGCTATTTCTGAAGCCAACTGCCTGTTGCATAAGTGTAGTGTAGATTACCTGTTACAGCTGTTGGTGGTGCACCCTTGCCTTCTCTTGCTTGTATTTGTTCTTGTTAGAATGTTATCTTATGCTCTAGCCTGTAGTGGGGTGCTCTATACCGAGTACAACCCTTCTAGGGTTTCCTATTTGTATCCCCTTTCTTGCTAGTGCAGCCCTCTTCTCTCTTCTAAACTTTCACATGCTATCAGAGCAGGTCGATCCCCTTGGATCGATCCTGTGGGTGGGCTCACCACCTCGTTGCTTCCGCTGCAACTACTACTGCTACTCTCTGTGCCGCACGCCCCGTGGCGTGCGGCAGTTTCTTCTTCCCGCCGTGCGCCCCGAGGCGCGCGGCGGTTTTCTGCCCGCCGTGCGCCCCGAGGCGCGCGGCGGTTTTCTGCCCGCCGTGCGCCCCGTGGCGCGCGACGGATTTCTGCCCCGTCACTCGGCGCGTCGCCCCCGGGAGGCGCTGCGACGGGCGACGGGGACCCGCACGTTGCACCCCGTCACCCCACCTCCGACCCTGGCCCCGTCGCCCTACCTGCGCCCCGGCCCCGTCGCCCTGCCTGCGAACCCGGCCCCGTCGCGCCACCTACGACCCCGGTCCCGTCGCCATACCTGCGGCCCCGGCCCTAGCCCCGTCGCCCTACCAGCGCCCCGGCCCCGTCGCCCCACCTGCGACCCCGGCCCCGTCGCCCCACCTGCGACCCCGGCCCCGTCGCCCCACCTGCGACCCCGGCCCCGTCGCCCTACCTGCGCCCCGGCCCCACCGCCCTACCTGCGTACCGGCCCCGGCCCGGTTGCCCTACCTGCGCCCCGGCCCCACCGCCCTACCTGCGTACCGGCCCCGTCGCCCTACCGACGGCCCCGGCCCCGTCGCCCTACCTGCGCCCCGGCCCCACCGCCCTACCTGCGTACCGGCCCCGTCGCCCTACCTACGGCCCGGCCCCGTCGCCCTACCTGCGGCATGTGCACCGCCCCCCCCCCACCCCCCCCCCCCCCCTTTTCCCGTCGCCTGTCGAGGCGACCTGAGGGGGCCGCGACCTGGGGGGTGGCGAGGGTGTGGTCTCCCCTGCTCCTCCTCCTCCTCCGTCTTCTTGTGCTGCAGCTGCTGCTGAGGGGGGGTGGACGTGTTGGAGCCGGTGGAGTGGTACTAATGGGGGGGTGAAGGGGGAGTGGAGCTAGCGGTGTAGCAGCGGGTGTGTGCCAGGGGGGAGTGGGATAGTTTGGGGAAGCTGAATGGAGGTTGTCGTCGTGTCGCCAGCAGCACCTGTATTCCGAGGACTTCGTCCGGTAGCCCAGTCGTAGCCAGCTGTGCCAGCCGCTCGTGGGTCCGTTGCTCGTCTGCCGCTACTTTAGCCGCGGGGCCAGTTACTCCAGTATTCCGGAGCGTTGTTCCGGTAGCCGCTGTGCCAGTGTGCCTCCTGTTGCCTGTGTGTCTGCAGCTTCATCCGTCGCCTCCTATCTCCTCTCCTCTCACTCTCTCTCCTCCTCCACACTTGCCCTCTGCAATAGCCCCTAGCTTTGCTCATAATTGTGAACTCTAAACTATTGCTTCTTTAACTTGTGCTCAGAATGTGTGGTGACATTGTGATCCACCCTGAGCTTGTACTGCTTTGCTTGCTCTGCTGATTACACCCCACTTTGGCTATGGGGGTGTGTCAGAATGATATCTTATGCTCTAGCCTGTAGTGGGGTGCTCTATAGCGAGTACAACCCTTCTAGGGTTTCCTATTTGTATCCCCATTCTTGCTAGTGCAGCCCTCTTCTCTCTTCTAGACTTTCACAGTTCTCTCGTTTCTAATGCCAAAACTCCTCTACCTCAATCTCACTAGTCTCCTAACTTTCCCAATTCCTAGCTCAAGGTTCTAAACTAATCTCCATTTTTATTTCACATGTGAGCCAGTGCGGGCTTGGCCCATGCTCACCCATATCAACACGCACCGTTGCAGTTAATGCAGAGGCCCGGGGGAGAGCAGGCCTGGCAGAAGTCAGGGCGTGCAGCACAGAAGGGCGCGGAGGCACTCTGATTCACCATGCACGCTCCCCCCTTCTCACACGTAGGGCCCACCGTTTTACTGAGAGGCAGGAACGATCTGGGGAGGCGAGGAGAGGAGGGGGGAGGCCGTGAGGGATGAGAAAGGGGAGGCGAGCAGGGAGGAGGGGGGAGTGGAGAGGACGGGAGCTAGCTAAGAGGAGGATAGTTGAGAGGAGAACAATTGAGAGGAGGATAGTTGAGAAGAAGAGAGAGGTGGAAGGTGGGCACTGAGCAAGGTAAAATAGAGGGACATGAGGAGTGCTGAGACGAGCTGAAAGAGAAGCGGAGGGAAGCACAAGGAGGAACCGAGTGGGAGCACACAGGCATGATTGGACAAAAGGACAGACAGTGTGGCAAGCAAGGCGTTTTCTGATTGGGGGTGTTACTGTGTGCTAGAAAACGCCAGAGCGTTTGGCATTTCCCTTTTGAGGTAACTCAGAAAAAGCCTCGCAATGCGTGGCATGGCATTACCACTTCGTGTTGAGATATGCCCACCGGCACATGCAATCGGGCAAGCACAGGGGCATCAAGCTCGCACGCAAATGGACGAGCAAACGACTAAGCGAATGAGCAAGCAAGCAAGTGAGCAAATTCTTTGGGTGAGGGAGTGAGCACACAAACCAGCAGATTTTGGAGCATCTAGTCAGTAAGACGAATGGCAGCACATGCATGCACCATGGATATGGTGTTGGGAGGGGAGTGGAGGGACCATAGGCCGCTATTACAACACAAACGACACCGCAAGCACAGCAAAGCACAGCATGACACAACACAGCACAGCACAGCATAGCACACACAGCACTCGACACCACCGCGCACATTATAGCAGCAGAAGCCTTACATCTCAGTAAGGCGTGTGAGGTTACCCAGGGCTGCTGGCAGCGACTCCCCTATTGTTGTGTAATCCAAGAGCCTAGGGGTGAGGAGGAAAGGAGGCGGTCACCGCAGTCCACGGCAACATTCTTCCTAAGGAGCTTGCGATGGTTCAGCAGGCTCTGGGGGGGGGAACACAGGGAAAAATGGCGTGAAGCCATGGACAGAGAGTTAAAAGCGCTGGAGGAACGGAACACCTGGAAAGTTGTCCCCATCAACGTGGCAAGGAACAAGACCATTCTCACCGGGAAATGGGTCTTCCGCGTTAAAACAAAAGCAGACGGCACAATTGAGAAGTTCAAAGCACGCTGGGTTGTGCGTGGATTCGATCAGGAGCACGGACGGGACTTCACCGAGACATTCGCCCCGGTTAGCCGACATACCTCACTTCGAATCCTCCTCGCGATCGCCGCCATGAAGAAAAGGAAGCTACGGCAAATCGATGTCGCCAACGCGTTCCTCTACGCACCTGTCGACGCAGAGATCTTCGTGGAACTACCGCACGGTACTAACGGAGAGCCCAACCAGGTTTGCCAGCTGCTGAAATCGCTCTACGGAATGAAACAAGCCCCGCGGCTGTGGCAACAGTACCTACACGCTCGCCTCATTCGCATCGGATTCCGCCAACTACCTCACGACCAAGGAATGTACCGACTCACGAAGGGTACCAACTACATCCTGCTGATTGTCTACGTAGACGACCTACTCTACATCGGCTCCACTGACGACATCATCACCTGGTTCGAAGGGGAGTTACAGAGGGACCTCACACTCACGGTCTCCTCTACCGTCACACAGTACCTCGGCTTGAACATTCGAGAGGAAGAAGATGCGATCTACGCCGACACCATCGCCAAACGCTTCACGCTCACGCCTACCACCATCTCTACGCCCTACCGCTATGCGACACGAAACCACGAGGAAGGATCCACTCTACTCAAATCTGCCGGGATACGCGACTACCAGAGAAAGCTAGGATGCCTTCTCTTCGCAGCCGTTACCTGCCGCCCCGACCTCTCATACTCCGCAAGCCAGCTCGCCACTCATCTCAAAAGGCCTGAAGCAAAAAACATGGCCAAACTCGACCGCGCTCTACACTATCTCGTTAGTACGCCAACGATCGGCCTAACATATCACAAGAACGCGACCACGCCACCTAAGCTAATCGGTTACGTCGACGCAGATCACGCGGGCGACTCCGACAACAGACGATCACGCACCGGCTACATCTATCGCTTCGAGCCTATCGGGCCTATCTCTTGGCAATCGAGCAAGCAGGAACTAATTGCTCTCTCGTCAGCTGAAGCAGAATATATTGCACTCTGCTCAGCCACCAAGGAAGGACTCTATCTTCGCGAGCTGCTGGAAGAAGCGAAGTTAGCCGAGTTACCCAACTTTACCCTGTTCTGCGACAACTAGTCGGCAATTCGCATCGCCAACAAGAACGGTTTTGCAAACAGGACGAAACACATCGCCCCACAATACTTCTTCGTGAAGGACGAGATCGAGAAGGGAAGGCTCGAGCTGTCATACTGCCGCACGTCCGAAATGGCAGCTGACTACCTGACTAAGAAGCTCGGAAAGCAGGGATTCGAATATTGCATGCTGCTAACTGGACAGAGCCACGTCAGCGACACTTCAGAAGCGAAGGGGAGTGTTGGAAACAATCTGTCCTAAGCGCCTCTGTCATGTCGAAACACTAAAGACTCAAGTGAAGCAACGCATATCGAGGCACCAGCGAGTCAACCCTCAAAAGTTGAAGCAACAGCTGGAGGTTACGCGAAGGTCAAAGGTCAGCGACCTTTGACTTGACAAATGCAGCGCGATAGCAAGGACACACAACTGACTCGATATTGAGCAGTTTGTCAGAACTTATATTTGTAACTGCCTGTAGCTGTAGTTAGTGTAGTTATTATCAACTTAGTTTGGTGGTGCACCTTCTTTGTTTCCTATGCTATATGTTCCTTGAAACCTATAGTGAAACCATTCTTCCCAATTCTCTCGATCCTCACCCTTGGCACAAAACTACTCGATATCCTAGTTGGGCCTAGGCTCCTAAGCCTAGGCCCTAGTAAAACTTAGTTCATTCTCGCTCATCTCGATACAGTTTTCCGAGTCGCACTGTATCGAACCGCAACAGCCAACAGTAAAACAGTTATCATTCGTATTCCTTGTAATCATATATAAAATCTTGTATCTCCTTGTTTTAATCAACTTACTTTGCCCTCACATACTAGCGCAAGGTGGTTCAGAATCTCTTTGTTAACGCTTCCGCTACTACATCATTCTACCCAGAGATTAACCCTACCAAAGATCCTAAGGGGCACTCAGCCCAACAATTTGAACGTCCGTTTGTACTTGTTCTAATTATTGTAGTTTTCTAATTTAATTGAGATTTAATGAAGATCTAAACATGTTTATGAATATGCTTTTGCATGGATAAATCGTAACCCCATTGCTGTAACAATACATGGTAACTTTATTACTCGGTTATGTTCATATTTAGTTACAACTCATGTTACCAAGTTACTTTCATAATCTAAATGTTTCACAATTTAAATGAAGTTCGGTTTAGAATACTCGATTGAAAAGTAACGATGTACTTCAGTAACAGTTACAGATGGTAACATTCGCGCTCATCGTTCTTCGTATTCCACCACTTTGACGATCGTATACGGTCGTCTGCAGCCATTTACTACCACCAACTCGCCAGATATTGGGGGTGACGTGGATCGCGGTTGGCCCCTCAGCTCGTTTCCCACTCAACCTTCCCCTTTCGCGAACTGTCGTGAACTACCGCCCAAACCCAGTCAACCCTGGTTCACGCTCGGACACTGTAGCGGAACAATCGGGGATATATGCTAGTTCCGACACCCCCCCGTTTTCCAAACACAAAGGGCCATACCCTTGGTGGTTTATTGCCGGGGGGGTCAACCACGGTAACCACAGCACAAACGAGGCACAAGAAGGCGTTTACGACACAATACGCCTTCTACATTTTTCTGATGTCGCCTCCTGCATGCCTTCGCCTCTCTCTGGCTCCATCCTCGCCCCTCAAATCGGCCCTTCCACGCTTCCTGAATTCGCCCCTCTCCCTCAAATCGGCCCTTCCACGCTTCCTGCATTCGCCCCTCTCTCCCTCAAATCGGCCCTTCCACGCTTCCTGCATTCGCCCCTCTCTCCCTCAAATCGGCCCTTCCACGCTCCCTGCATTCGACCCTCTCGCTCCCTGCATTCGCCCCTCTCACTCCCTGCATTCGCCCCTCTCGCTCCCTGCATTTGCCCCTCTCGCTCCCTGCATTCGCCCCGATCTCTCCTTGCATTCGCCCCTCTCTCTCCCTGCATTCCCCCCTCTCGCTCCCTGCATTCGCCCCTCTCTCCCCCTGCATTCGCCCCTCACTCCCCCTGCATTCGCCCCTCTCTCTCCCTTCATTCCCCCCTCTCTCTCCTTGCATTCGCCCCTCTCGCTCCCAGCATTCGCCCCTCTCGCTCCCTGCAATCGCCCCTCTCTCCCCCTGCATTCGCCCCTCTTTGTTCCTGCATTCGCCCCTCTCTCTCCCTGCATTCGCCCCTCTCTCCCCCTGCATTGGCCCCTCTCTCCCCCTGCATTCGCCCCTCTCTCCCCCTGCATTGGCCCCTCTCGCTCCCTGCATTCGCCCCTCTCACTCCCTGCATTCGCCCCTCTCGCTCCCTGCATTCGCCCCTCTCTCCCCCTGCATTCCCCCCTCTCTCCCCCTGCATTCGCCCCTCTCTCCCCCTGCATTCGCCCCTCTCTCCCCCTGCATTCGCCCCTCTCTTTCCCTGCATTCGCCCCTCTCTCTCCCTGCATTCGCCCCTCTCGCTCCCTACATTCGCCCCTCTCGCTCCCTGCATTCGCCCCTCTCTCCCCCTGCATTCGCCCCTCTCTCCCCCTGCATTCGCCCCTCTCTCTCCCTGCATTCGCGCCTCTCTCTCCCTGCATTCGCCCCTCTCGCTCCCTGCATTCGCCCCTCTCGCTCCCTGCATTTGCCCCTCTCTCCCCCTGCATTCGCCCCTCTCTCCCCCTGCATTCGCCCCTCTCTCTCCCTGCATTCGCCCCTCTCTCACCCTGCATTCGCCCCTCTCTCCCCCTGCAATCGCCCCTCTCTCTCCCTGCATTCACCCCTCTCTCTCCCTGCATTTGCCCCTCTCGCTCCCTGCATTCGCCCCTCTCTCCCCTTGCATTCGGCCCTCTCCACCCCTGCATTTGCCCCTCTCGCTCCCTGCATTCGCCCCTCTCGCTCCCTGCATTCGCCCCTCTCTCCCCCTGCATTCGCCCCTCTCCCTCCCTTCATTCGCCCCTCTCTATCCCTGCATTCGTCCCTCTCTACCCCTGCATTCGCCCCTCTCTACCCCTGCATTCGCCCCTCTCGCTCCCGGCATTCGCCCCTCTCTCCCCCTGCATTCGCCCCTCTCTCCCCCTGCATTTGCCCCTTTCTCTCCCTGCATTCGCCCCTCTCTCTCCCTGCATTCGCCCCTCTCGCTCCCTGCATTTGGCCCTCTCGCTCCCTGCATTCGCCCATCTCTCCCCCTGCATTCGCCCCTCTGTCTTCCTGCATTCGCCCCTCTCTCTCCCTGCATTCGCCCCTCTCTCCCCCTGCATTGGCCCCTCTCTCCCCTTGCATTCGCCCCTCTCTTCCCCTGCATTGGCCCCTCTCGCTCCCTGCATTCGCCCCTCTCACTCCCTGCACTCGCCCCTCTCGCTCCCTGCATTCGCCCCTCTCTCCCCCTGCATTCGCTCCTCTCTCCCCCTGCATTCGCCCCACTCTCTTCCTGCATTCGCCCCTCTCTCTTCCTGCATTCGCCCCTCTCTCTCCCTGCATTCGCCCCTCTCTCTCCCTGCATTCGCCCCTCTCGCTCCCTGCATTCGCCCCTCTTGCTCCTTGCATTCGCCCCTCTCTCCCCCTGCATTCGCCCCTCTCTCCCCCTGCATTCGCCCCTCTCTCTCCCTGCATTCGCCCCTCTCTCTCCCTGCATTCGCCCCTCTCTCTCCCTGCATTCGCCCATCTTGCTCCCTGCATTCGCCCCTCTCGCTCCCTGCATTCGCCCCTCTCCCCCCCTGCATTCGCCTGTCTCTCCCCCTGCATTCGCACCTCTCTCTCCCTGCATTCGCCCCTCTCTCCCCCTGCATTCGCCCCTCTCTCCCCCTGCATTCGCCCCTCTCTCTCCCTGCATTCGCCCCTCTCTCTCCCTGCATTCGGCCCTCTCGCTCCCTGCATTCGCCCCTCTCGCTCCCTGCATTTGCCCCTCTCTCCCCCTGCATTCGCCCCTCTCTCCCTCTGCATTCGCCCCTCTCTCTCCCTGCCTTCGCCCATCTCTCCCCCTGCATTCGCCCCTCTCTCCCCCTGCATTCGCCCCTCTCTCTCCCTGCATTCACCCCTCTCTCTCCCTGCATTCGCCCCTATCTCTCCCTGCATTCGCCCATCTTGCTCCCTGCATTCGCCCCTCTCGCTCCCTGCATTCGCCCCTCTCTCCCCCTGCATTCACTTGTCTCTCCCCCTGCATTCGCCCCTCTCTCTCCCTACATTCGCCCCTCTCTCCCCCTGCATTCGCCCCTCTCTCCCCCTGCATTCGCCCCTCTCTCTCCCTGCATTCGCCCCTCTCTCTCCCTGCATTCGCCCCTCTCGCTCCCTGCATTCGCCCCTCTCGCTCCCTGCATTTGCCCCTCTCTCCCCCTGCATTCGCCCCTCTCTCCCCCTGCATTCGCCCCTCTCTCTCCCTGCATTCGCCCCTCTCTCCCCCTGCATTCGCCCCTCTCTCCCCCTGCATTCGCCCCTCTCTCTCCCTGCATTCACCCCTCTCTCTCCCTGCATTCGCCCCTCTCGCTCCCTGCATTCGCCCCTCTCTCCCCTTGCATTCGGCCCTCTCCACCCCTGCATTCGCCCCTCTCGCTCCCTGCATTCGCCCCTCTCGCTCCCTTCATTCGCCCCTCTCTCCCCCTGCATTCGCCCCTCTCTCTCCCTTCATTCGCCCCTCTCTATCCCTGCATTCGCCCCTCTCTACCCCTGCATTCGCCCCTCTCTACCCCTGCATTCGCCCCTCTCGCTCCCGGCATTCGCCCCTCTCTCCCCCAGCATTCGCCCCTCTCTCCCCCTGCATTCGCCCCTTTCTCTCCCTGCATTCGCCCCTCTCTCTCCCTGCATTCGCCCCTCTCGCTCCCTACATTTGCCCCTCTCGCTCCCTGCATTTGCCCCTCTCTCCCCCTGCATTCGCCCCTCTCTCCCCCTGCATTCGCCCCTCTCTTTTCCTGCATTCGCCTCTCTCTCTCCCTGCATTCGCCCCTCTCTCCCCCTGCATTGGCCCCTCTCGCTCCCTGCATTCGCCCCTCTCACTCCCTGCATTCGCCCCTCTCGCTCCCTGCATTTGCCCCTCTCTCCCCCTGCATTCGCTCCTCTCTCCCCCTGCATTCGCCCCACTCTCTTCCTGCATTCGCCCCTCTCTCTTCCTGCATTCGCCCCTCTCTCTCCCTGCATTCGCCCCTCTCTCTCCCTGCATTCGCCCCTCTCGCTCCCTGCATCCCCCCTCTCGCTCCCTGCATTCGCCCCTCTCTCCCCCTGCATTCGCCCCTCTCTCCCCCTGAAATCGCCCCTCTCTCTCCCTGCATTCGCCCCTCTCGCTCCCTGCATTCGCCCCTCTCTCCTCCTGCATTCGCCCCTCTCTCTTCCTGCATTCGCCCCTCTCTCTCCCTGCATTCGCCCCTCTCTCCCCTTGCATTCGCCCCTCTCTTCCCCTGCATTGGCCCCTCTCGCTCCCTGCATTCGCCCCTCTCACTCCCTGCATTCGCCCCTCTCGCTCCCTGCATTCGCCCCTCTCTCCCCCTGCATTCGCTCCTCGCTCCCTGCATTCGCCCCACTCTCTTCCTGCATTCGCCCCTCTCTCTTCCTGCATTCGCCCCTCTCTCTCCCTGCATTCGCCCCTCTCTCTCCCTGCATTCGCCCCTCTCGCTCCCTGCATTCGCCCCTCTCGCTCCCTGCATTCGCCCCTCTCTCCCCCTGCATTCGCCCCTCTCTCCCCCTGCATTCGCCCCTCTCTCTCCCTGCATTCGCCCCTCTCTCTCCCTGCATTCGCCCCTCTCTCCCCCTGCATTCGCCCATCTTGCTCCCTGCATTCGCCCCTCTCGCTCCCTGCATTCGCCCCTCTCTCCCCCTGCATTCGCCCGTCTCTCCCCCTGCATTCGCCCCTCTCTCTCCTTTCATTCGCCCCTCTCTCCCCCTGCATTCGCCCCTCTCTCCCCCTGCATTCGCCCCTCTCTCTCCCTGCATTCGCCCCTCTCTCTCCCTGCATTCGCCCCTCTCGCTCCATGCATTCGTCCCTCTCGCTCCCTGCATTCGCCCCTCTCTCCCCTTGTATTCGCCCCTCTCTCCCCCTGCATTCGCCCCTCTCTCTCCCTGCATTCGCCCCTCTCACTCCCTGCATTCGCCCCTCTCTACCCCTGCATTCGGCTCTCTCTACCTCTGCATTCGCCCCTCTCGCTCCCTGCGTTCGCCCCTCTCGCTCCCCGCATTCGCCCCTCTCTCCCCCTACATTCGCCCATCTCTGTCCCTTCATTCGCCCCTCTCTATCCCTGCATTCGCCCCTCTCTCCCCCTGCATTCGCCCCTCTCTCCCCCTGAAATCGCCCCTCTCTCTCCATGCATTCGCCCCTCTCGCTCCCTGCATTCGCCCCTCTCTCCCCCTGCATTCGCCCCTCTCTCTTCCTGCATTCGCCCCTCTCTCTCCCTGCATTCGCCCCTCTGTTCCCCTGTATTGGCCCCTCTCTCCCCTTGCATTCGCCCCTCTCTTCCCTTGCATTGGCCCCTCTCGCTCCCTGCATTCGCCCCTCTCACTCCCTACATTCGCCCCTCTCGCTCCCTGCATTCGCCCCTCTCTCCCCCTGCATTCGCTCCTCGCTCCCTGCATTCGCCCCACTCTCTTCCTGCATTCGCCCCTCTCTCTTCCTGCATTCGCCCCTCTCTCTCCCTGCATTCGCCCCTCTCTCTCCCTGCATTCGCCCCTCTCGCTCCCTGCATTCGCCCCTCTTGCTCCTTGCATTCGCCCCTCTCTCCCCCTGCATTCGCCCCTCTCTCCCCCTGCATTCGCCCCTCTCTCTCCCTGCATTCGCCCCTCTCTCTCCCTGCATTCGCCCCTCTCTCTCCCTCCATTCGCCCATCTTGCTCCCTGCATTCGCCCCTCTCGCTCCCTGCATTCGCCCCTCTCTCCCCCTGCATTCGCCCGTCTCTCCCCCTGCATTCGCCCCTCTCTCTCCTTGCATTCGCCCCTCTCTCCCCCTGCATTCGCCCCTCTCCCCCCCTGCTTTTGCCCCTCTCTCTCCCTGCATTCGCCCCTCTCTCTCCCTGCATTCGCCCCTCTCGCTCCATGCATTCGTCCCTCTCGCTCCCTGCATTCGCCCCTCTCTCCCCTTGCATTCGCCCCTCTCTCCCTCTGCATTCGCCCCTCTCTCTCCCTGCATTCGCCCCTCTCACTCCCTGCATTCGCCCCTCTCTACCCCTGCATTCGGCTCTCTCTACCTCTGCATTCGCCCCTCTCGCTCCCTGCGTTCGCCCCTCTCGCTCCCGGCATTCGCCCCTCTCTCCCCCTACATTCGCCCATCTCTGTCCCTTCATTCGCCCCTCTCTATCCCTGCATTCGCCCCTCCCTACCCCTGCATTCGCCCCTCTCTACCCGTGCATTCGCCCCTCTCGCTCCCTGCATTTGCCCCTCTCTCCCCCTGCATTCGCCCCTCTCTCCCCCTTGATTCGCCCCTCTCTGTCCGTGCATTCGCCCCTCTCTCCCCCTGCATTCGCCCCTCTCTCCCCCTTCATTCGCCCCTCTCGCTCCCTGCATTCGCCCCTCTCACTCCCAGCATTCTCCCCTCTCGCTCTCCTGCACTCGCCCCTCTATTTTCCTGCATTCACCCCTCACTCCCCCTGCATTCGCCCCTCTCTCTCCCTGCATTCGCCCCTCTCTCTCCCTGCATTCGCCCCTCTCGCTCCCTGCATTCGCCCCTCTCTCCCCCTGCGTTCGCCCCTCTCTCTTCGTGCATTCGCCCCTCTCTCTCCCTGCATTCGCCCCTATCTCTCCCTGCATTCGCCCCTCTCGCTCCCTGCATTCGCCCCTCTCGCTCCCTACATTCGCCCCTCTCTCCCCCTGCATTCGCCCCTCTCTCCCCCTGCATTCGCCCCTCTCACTCCCTGCATTCGCCCCTCTCTCTCCCTGCATTCGCCCCTCTCGCTCCCTGCATTCGCCCCTCTCGCTCCCTGCATTGGCCCCTGTCTCCCCCTGCATTCGCCCCTCTCTCCCCCTGGATTCGCCCCTCTCTCTCCCTGCATTCGCCCCTCTCGCTCCCTGCATTCGCCCCTCTCGCTCCCTGCATTCGCCCCTCTCTCTCCCTGCATTAGCCCTTCTCTCCCCCTGCATTCGCCCCTCTCTCTCCCTGCATTCGCCCCTCTCTCTCCCTACATTCGCCCCTCTCGCTCCTTGCATTCGCCCGTCTCGCTCCCTGCATTGGCCCCTCTCTCCCCCTGCATTCGCCCCTCTCTCCCCCTGCATTCGCCCCTCTCTCCCCCTGCATTGGCCCCTCTCTCCCCATGCATTCGCCCCTCTCTCTCCCTGCATTCGCCCCTCTCTCTCCCTGCATTCGCCCCTCTCGCTCCCTGCATTCGCCCCTCTCGCTCCCTGCATTCGCCCCTCTCTCCCCCTGCATTTGCCCCTCTCTCCCCCTGCATTCGCCCCTCTCTCTCCCTGCATTCGCCCCTCTCCCTCCCTGCATTCCCCCCTCTCGCTCCCTGCATTCGCCCCTCTCTCCCCCTGCATTCGCCCCTCTCTCCCCCTGCATTCGCCCCTCTCTCTCCCTGCATTCGCCCCACTCTCCCCCTGCATTCGCCCCTCTCGCTCCCTGCATTCGCCTTCTCTCGCTCCCTGCATTCGCTCCTCTCGCTCCCTGCATTTGCCCCTCTTGCTCCCTTCATTCGCCCCTCTCTCCCCCTGCATTCGCCCCTCTCTCCCTTTGCATTCGCCCCTCTCTCTCCCTGCATTCGCCCCTCTCTCTCCGTGCATTCGCCCCTCTCGCTCCCTGCATTTGCCCCTCTCGCTCCCTGCATTCGCCCCTCTCTCCCCCCGCATTCGCCCCTCTCTCCCCCTGCATTCGCCCCTCTCTCTTCTTGCGTTCGCCCCTCTCTCCCCCTGCATTCGCCCCTCTCTACCCCTGCATTCGGCCCTCTCTCTCCCTGCATTCGCCCCTCTCACTCCCTGCATTCCCCCCTCTCGCTCCCTGCATTCTCCCCTCTCTCCCCCTGCATTCGCCCATCTCACTCCCTTCATTCGCCCCTCTCTATCCCTGCATTCGCCCCTCTCTACCCCTGCATTCGCCCCTCTCTACCCCTGCATTCGCCCCTCTCGCTCCCTGCATTCGCCTCTCTCTCCCCCTGCATTCGCCTCTCTCTACCCGTACATTCGGCCCTCTCTATCCCTGCATTCGCCCCTCTCGCTCCCTGCATTCGCCCCTCTCTCCCCCTACATTCGCCCCTCTCTCTCCCTTCATTTGTCCCTCTCTATCCCAGCATTCGGCCCTCTCTACACTTGCATTCGCCCCTCTCTACTTCTGCATTCGCCCCTCTCGCTCCCTGCATTCGCCCCTCTCTTCCCCTGCATTCGCCCCTCTCTCCCTCTGCATTCGCCCCTCTCTCTCCCTCCATTCGCCCCTCTCTCCCCCTGCATTCGCCCCTCTCGCTCCCTGCATTCGCCCCTCTCTCTCCCTGCATTTCCCTCTCGCTCCCTGCATTCGCCCCTCTCGCTCCCTGCATTTGACCCTCTCTCCCCTTGCATTCTCCCTTCTCTCCCCCTGCATTCGCCCGCCTCTCTCCCTGCATTCGCCCCTCTCGCTCCCTGCATTCGCCCCTCTCGCTCCCTGCATTCGCCCTTCTCTCCCCCTGCATTCGCCCCTCTCTCTCTCCCTGCATTCGCCCCTCTCTCTCCCTGCATTCGCCCCTCTCGCTCCCTGCATTCGCCCCTCTCGCTCCCTGCATTCGCCCCTCTCTCCCCCTGCATTCGCCCCTCTCTCCCCCTGCATTCGCCCCTCTCTCTCACTGCATTCGCCCCTCTCTCTCCCTGCATTCGCCCCTCTCGCTCCCTGCATTCGCCCCTCTCGCTCCCTGCATTCGCCCCTCTTTCCCCCTGCATTCGCCCCTCTCTCCCCCTGGACTCGCCCCTCTCTCTCCCTGCATTCGCCCCTCTCTCCCCCTGCATTCGCCCCTCTCTCCCCCTGCATTCGCCCCTCTCGCCCCCTGCATTCGCCCCTCTCACTCCCTGCATTCGCCCCTCTCGCTCCCTCCATTCGCCCCTCTCTCCCTCTGCATTCGCCCCTCACTCCCCTTGCATTCGCCCCTCTCTCTCCCTGCATTCGCCCCTCTCTCTCCCTGCATTCGCCCCTCTCGCTCCCTGCATTCGCCCCTCTCCCTCCCTGCATTCGCCCCTCTCTCCCCCTGCATTCGCCCCTCTCTCTTCCTGCATTCGCCCCTCTCTCTCCCTGCATTCGCCCCTCTCTCCCCCTGCATTGGCCCCTTTCTCCCCTTGCATTCGCCCCTCTCTCCCCCTGCATTGGCCCCTCTCGCTCCCTGCATTCGCCCCTCTCACTCCCTGCATTCGCCCCTCTCGCTCCCTGCATTCGCCCCTCTCACTCCCTGCATTCACCCCTCTCGCTCCCTGCATTTGCCCCTCTCTCCCCCTGCATTCGCCCCTCTCTCCCCCTGCATTCGCCCCTCTCTCTTCCTGCATTCGCCCCTCTCTCTCCCTGCATTCGCCCCTCTCTCCCCCTGCATTGGCCCCTCTCGCTCACTGCATTCGCCCCTCTCTCTCTCCCTTCATTCGCCTCTCTCGCTCCCTGCATTCGCCCCTCCCGCTCCCTACATTCGCCCCTCTCTCCCCCTGCATTCGCCCCTCTCTCTCCCTGCATTCGCCCCTCTCTCTCCCTGCATTCGCCCCTCTCGCTCCCTGCATTCGCCCCTCTCGCTCCCTGCATTCGCCCCTCTCTCCCCTTGCATTCGCCCCTCTCTCCCCCAGCATTCGTCCCTCTCTCTCCCTGCATTCGCCCCTCTTGCTCCCTGCATTCGCCCCTCTCGCTCCCTACATTCGCCTCTCTTTCCACCTGCATTTGCCCCTCTCTCCCCCTGCATTCGCCCCTCTCTCTCCCTGCATTCGCCCCTGTATCCCCTTGCATTCGCCCCTCTCTCCCCCTACATTCTCCCCTCTCTCTCCCTGCATTCGCCCCTCTCTACCCCTGCATTCGGCCCTCTCTACCCCAGCATTCGCCCCTCTCGCTCCCTGCATTCGCCCCTCTCGCTCCCTGCATTAGCCCCTCTCTCCCCCTGCATTCGCCCCTCTCTCTCCTTTCATTCGCCCCTCTCTATCCCTGCATTCGCCCCTCTCTACCCCTGCATTCGCCCCTCTCGCTCCCTGCATTTGCCCCTCTCCCCCCCTGCATTCGCCCCTCTCTCCCCCTGCATTTGCCCCTCTCTCTCCCTGCATTCGCCCCTCTCTCTCCCTGCATTCGCCCCTCTCGCTCCCTGCATTCGCCCCTCTCGCTCCCTGCATTCGCCCCTCTCTCCCCTTGCATTCGCCCCTCTCTCCCCCTGCATTCGCCCCTCTCTCTCCCTGCATTCACCCCTCTCGCTCCCTGCATTCGCCCCTCTCGCTCCCTACATTCGCCCCTCTCTCCCCCTGCATTCGCCCCTCTCTACCCTTGCATTCGCCCCTCTCTCCCTGCATTCGCCCCTGTCTCCCCTTGCATTCGGCCCTCTCTCCCCCTGCATTCTCCCCTCTCTCTCCTTGCATTCGCCCCTCTCTACCCCTGCTTTCGGCCCTCTCTACCCCTGCATTCGCCCCTCTCGCTCCCTGCATTCGCCCCTCTCGCTCCCTGCATTCGCCCCTCTCTCCCCCTGCATTCACCCCTCTCTCTCCCTTCATTCGCCCCTCTCTATCCCTGCATTCGCCCCTCTCTACCCCTGCATTCGCCCCTCTCTACCCCTGCCTTCGCCCCTCTCGCTCCCTGCATTCGCCCCTCTCTCCCCCTGCATTCGCCCCTCTCTCCCCCTACATTCGCCACTCTCTCTCCCTGCATTCGCCCCTTTCGTTCCCTACATTCTCCCCTCTCGCTCCCTGCATTCGCCCCTCTCTCCCCCTGCATTCGCCCCTCTCTCCCCCTGCATTCGCCCCTCTCTCCCCCTGCATTCGCCCCTCTCTCCCCCTGCATTCGCCCCTCTCTTTCCCTGCATTCGCCCCTCTCGCTCCCTGCTTTCGCCCCTCTTGCTCCCTGCATTCGCCCCTCTCTCCCCCTGCATTCGCCCCTCTCTCCCCCTGCATTCACCCCTCTCTCTCCCTGCATTCGCCCCTCTCTCTCCCTGCATTCGCCCCTCTCGCTCCCTGCATTCGCCCCTCTCGCTCCCTGCATTTGCCCCTCTCTCCCCCTGCATTCGCCCCTCTCTCCCCCTGCATTCGCCCCTCTCTCTCCTTGCATTCGCCCCTCTCTCCCCCTGCATTCGCCCCTCTCTCTCCCTGCATTCTCCCCTCTCGCTCCCTGCATTCGCCCCTCTCGCTCCTTGCATTCGCCCCTCTCGCTCCCTGCATTCGCCCCTCTCTCCCCCTGCATTCGCCCCTCTCTCCCCCTGCATTCGCCCCTCTCTCTCCCTGCATTCGCCCCTCTCTCCCCCAGGATTCGCCCCTCTCTACCCCTACATTCGGCCCTCTCTATCCCTGCATTCGCCCCTCTCGCTCTGTGCATTCGCCCCTCTCTCCCCCTGCATTCGCCCCTCTCTCTCCCTTCATTCGTCCCTCTCTATCACTGCATTCGGCCCTCTCTATCCTTGCATTCGCCCCTCTCTACCCCTGGATTCGCCCCTCTCGCTCCCTGCATTCGCCCCTCTCTCCCCCTGCATTCGCCCCTCTCTCCCCCTGCATTCGCCCCTCTCTCTCCCTGGATTCGCCCCTCTCTCCCCCTACATTCGCCCCTCTCTCTCCCTGCATTCGCCCCTCTCTCTCCCTGCATTTCTCTCTTGCTCCCTGCATTCGCCCCTCTCGCTCCTTGCATTCGACCCTCTCTCCCCTAGCATTCGCCCCTCTCGCTCCCTGCATTTGCCCCTCTCGCTCCCTGCATTTGCCCCTCTCGCTCCTTGCATTCGCCCCTCTTTCCCCCTGCATTCGCCCCTCTCTCCCCCTGCATTCGCCCCTCTCTCCCCCTGCATTCGCCCCTCTCTCTTCCTGCATTCGCCCCTCTCTCTCCCTGCATTCGCCCCTCTCTCCCACTGCATTCGCCCCTCTCTCCCCCTGCATTCGCCCCTCTCGCTCCCTGCATTCGCCCCTCTCACTCCCTGCATTCGCCCCTCTCGCTCCCTGCATTCGCCCCTCTCTCCCCCTGCATTCGCCCCTCACTCCCCCTGCATTCGCCCCTCTCTCTCCCTGCATTCGCCCCTTTCTCTCCCTGCATTCGCCCCTCTCGCTCCCTGCATTCGCCCCTCTCGCTCCCTGCATTCGCCCCTCTCTCCCCCTGCATTCGCCCCTCTCTCTTCCTGCATTCGCCCCTCTCTCTCTTTGCATTCGCCCCTCTCTCCCCTGCATTGGCCCCTCTCTCCCCCTGCATTCGCCCCTCTCTCCCCCTGCATTGGCCCCTTTCGCTCCTTGCATTCGCCCCTCTCACTCCCTGCATTCGCCCCTCTCGCTCCCTGCATTTGCCCCTCTCTCCCCCTGCATTCGCCCCTCTCTCTTCCTGCATTCGCCCCTCTCTCTCCCTGCATTCGCCCCTCTCTCACCTTGCATTGGCCCCTCTCGCTCCCTACATTCGTCCCTCTCCCTCCCTGCATTCGCCCCTCTCGCTCCCTGCATTCGCCCCTCTCGCTCCCTGCATTCGCCCCTCTCTCCCCCTGCATTCGCCCCTCTCTCCCCCTGGATTCGCCCCTCTCTCTCCCTGCATTCGCCCCTTTCTCCCCCTGCATTGGCCCCTCTCTCCCCCTGCATTCGCCCCTCTCTCCCCCTGGATGCGCCCCTCTCTCTCCCTGCATTCGCCCCTCTCTCCCTGCATTCGCTCCTCTCGCTGCCTGCATTCGCCCCTCTCGTTCCCTGCATTCGCCCTTCTCTCCCCCTGCATTCGCCCCTCTCTCTTCCTGCATTCGCCCCTCTCTCTCCCTGCATTCGCCCCTCTCTCTCCCTGCATTTGCCCCTCTCGCTCCCTCCATTCGCCCATCTCGCTCCCTGCATTCGCCCCTCTCTCCCCCTGCATTCGCCCCTCTCTCTCCCTGCATTTGCCCCTCTCTCTCCCTGCATTCGCCCCTCTCGCTCCCTGCATTCGCCCCTCTCGCTCCGTTCATTCGCCCCTCTCTTCCCCTGCATTCGCCCCTCTCTCCCCCTGCATTCGCCCCTCTCTCCCCCTGCATTCGCCCCTCTCTCTCCCTTCATTCGCCCCTCTCTCCCTCTGCATTCGCCCCTCTCTCCCCCTGCATTCGCCCCTCTCGCTCCCTGCATTCGCCCCTCTCACTCCCTGCATTCGCCCCTCTCGCTCCCTGCATTCGCCCCTCTCTCCCCCTGCATTCGCCCCTCACTCCCCCTGCATTGGCCCCTCTCCCTCCCTGCATTCGCCCCTCTCTCTCCCTACATTCGCCCCTCTCGCTCCCTGCATTCGCCCCTCTCGCTCCCTGCATTCGCCTCTCTCTCCCCCTGCATTCGCCCCTCTCTCTTCCTGGATTCGCCCCTCTCTCTCCCTGCATTCGCCCCTCTCTCCCCCTGCATTGGCCCCTCTCTCTCCCTGCATTCGCCCCTCTCTCCCGCTGCATTGGCCCCTCTCGCTCCCTGCATTTGCCCCTCTCACTCCCTGCATTCGCCCCTCTCGCTCCCTGCATTTGCCCCTCTCTCCCCCTGCATTCGCCCCTCTCTCCCCCTGCATTCGCCCCTCTCTCCCCCTGCATTCGCCCCTCTCTCCCCCTGCATTGGCCCCTCTCGCTCCCTGCATTCGCCCCTCTCACTCCCTGCATTCGCCCCTCTCGCTCCCTGCATTCGCCACTCTCTCCCCCTGCATTCGCCCCTCTCTCCCCCTGGATTCGCCCCTTTCTCTCACTGCATTCGCCCCTCTCTCCCTCTTCATACGCCCCTCTCTCCCCCTGCATTCGCCCCTCCTGCTCCCTGCATTCGCCCCTCTCTCCCCCTGCATTCGCCCCTCACTCCCCCTGCATTCGCCCCTCTCTCTCCCTGCATTTGCCCCTCTCTCTCCCTGCATTCGCCCCTCTCGCTCCTTGCATTCGCCCCTCTCGCTCCCTGCATTCGCCCCTCTCTCCCCCTGTATTCGCCCCTCTTTCTTCCTGCATACGCCCCTCTCTCTCCCTGCATTCGCCCCTCTCTCCCCCTGCATTGGCCCCTCTCTCCCCCTGCATTCGCCCCTCTCTCCCCCTGCATTGGCCCCTCTCGCTCCTTGCATTCGCCCCTCTCACTCCCTACATTCGCCATTCACGCTCCCTGCATTCGCCCCTCTCTCCCCCTGCATTCGCCCCTCGCTCCCCCTGCATTCGCCCCTCTCTCTTCCTGCATTCGCCCCTCTCTCTCCCTGCATTCGCCCCTCTCTCCCCCTGCATTGGCCCCTCTCGCTCCCTGCATTCGCCCCTCTCTCTCCCTGCATTCGCCCCTCTCGCTCCCTGCATTCGCCCCTCTCGCTCCGTGCATTCGCCCCTCTCTCCCTTTGCATTTGCCCCTCTCTCCCCCTGCATTCACCCCTCTCTCTCCCTGCATTCGCCCCTCTCGCTCCCTGGAATCCCCCCTCTCGCTCACTGCATTCGCCCCTCTCACCCCCTGCATTCGCCCCTCTCTCCCCCTGCATACGCCCCTCTCTCTCCCTGCATTCGCCCCTTTCTCCCCCTACATTCGGCCCTCTCTACCCCTGCATTCGCCCCTCTCGCTCCCTGCATTCGCCCCTCGCTCCCTGCATTCGCCCCTCTCGCTCCCTTCATTCGCCCCTCTCTCCCCCTGCATTCGCCCCTCTCTCCCCCTGCATTCGCCGCTCTCTCTCCCTGCATTCGCCCCTCTCGCTCCCTGCATTCGCCCCTCTCGCTCCCTGCATTCGCCCCTCTCTCCCCCTGCATTCGCCCCTCTCTCTTCCTGCATTCGCCCCTCTCTCTCGCTGCATTCGCCCCTCTCTCCCCCTGCATTCGCCCCTCTCTCTTCCTTCATTCGCCCCTCTCTCTCCCTGCATTCGCCCCTCTCTCCCCCTGCATTGGCCCCTCTCTCCCCCTGCATTCGCCCCTCTCTCCCCCTGCATAGGCCCCTCTCGCTCCCTGCATTCGCCCCTCTCACTCCCTGCATTCGCCCCTCTCGCTCCCTGCATTCGCCCCTCTCTCCCCCTGCATTCGCCCCTCTCTCCCCCTTCATTCGCCCTTCTCTCCCCCTGCATTCGCCCCTGTCTCCCCCTGCATTCGCCCCTCTCTCACCCTGCATTCGCCCCTCTCTCTCCCTGCATTCGCCCCTCTCACTCCCTGCATTTGCCCCTCTCGCTCCCTGCATTCGCCCCTCTCTCCCCCTGCATTCGCCCCTCTCTCCACCTGCATTCGCCCCTCTCTCTCCCTGCATTCGCCCCCCTCTCTCCCTGCATTTGACCCTCTCGCTCCCTGCATTCGCCCCTCTCGCTCCCTGCATTCGCCCCTCTCGCTCCCTGCATTCGCACCTCTCGCTCCCTTCATTCGCCCCTCTCTCCCCTTGCATTCACCCCTCTCCCCCTGCATTCGCCCCTCTCTCTCCCTGCATTCTCCCCTCTCTCCCCCTGCATTGGCCCCTCTCTGCCCCTGCATTCGCACCTCTCGCTCCCTGCATTCCCCCCTCTCGCTCCCTGCATTCGACCCTCTCTCCCCCTGCATTCGCCCCTCTCTCTTCCTGCATTCGCCCCTCGCGCTCCCTGCATTCGCCCCTCTCGCTCCCTACATTCGCCCCTCTTTCCCCCTGCATTCGCCCCTCTCCCTCCCTTCATTCGCCCCTCTCTATCCCTGCAGTCGCCCCTCTCTACCCCTGCATTCGCCCCTCTCTACCCCTGCATTCGCCCCTCTCTCCCCCTGCATTTGCCCCTCTCTCCCCCTGCATTCGCCCTTCTCTCTCCCTGCATTCGCCCCTCTCTCCCCCTGCATTCGCCCCTCTCTCTCCCTGCATTCGCCCCTCTCTCTCCCTGCATTCGCCCCTCTCGCTCCCTGCATTCGCCCCTCTCGCTCCTTGCATTCGACCCTCTCTCCCCCTGCATTCGCCCCTCTCTCTTCCTACATTCGCCCCTCTCACTCCCTGCATTCGCCCCTCTCGCTCCCTGCATTCGCCCCTCTCTCCCCCCGCATTCGCCCCTCACTCCCCCTGCATTCGCCCCTCTCTCTCCCTGCATTGGCCCCTCTCTCTCCGTGCATTCGCCCCTCTCGCTCCCTGCATTCGCCCCTCTCGTTCCCTGCATTCGCCCCTCTCACTCCCTGCATTCGCCCCTCTCGCTCCCTGCATTTGCCCCCCCTCCACCTGCATTCGCCCCTCTCTCCCCCTGCATTCGCCCCTCTCTCCCCCTGCATTCGCCTCTCTCTCTCCCTGCATTCGCCCCTCTCTCCCTCTGCATTGGCCCCTCTCGCTCCTTGCATTCGCCCCTCTCTCTCCCTGCATTCGCCCCTCTCGCTCCGTGCATTCGCCCCTCTCCCTCCCTGCATTCGCCCCTCTCTCCCTTTGCATTCGCCCCTCTCTCCCCCTGCATTCGCCCCTCTCTCTCCCTGCATTCGCCCCTCTCGCTCCCAACATTCGCCCCTCTCACCCCGTGCATTCGCCCCTCTCTCCCCCTGTATTCGCCCCTCTCTCTCCCTGCATTCGCCCCTCTCTCCCCCTGCATTCGCCCCTCTCTACCCCTGCATTCGGCCCTCTCTACCCCTGCATTTGCCCCTCTCGCTCCCTGCATTCGCCCCTCTCGCTCCCTGCATTCGCCCCTCTTGCTCCCTGCATTCGCCCCTCTCTCCCCCTGCATTCGCCCCTCTCTCCCCCTGCATTCGCCCCTTTCTCTCCCTGCATTCGCCCCTCTCGCTCCCTGCATTCGCCCCTCTCGCTCCCTGAATTCGCCCCTCTCTCCCTTTGCATTCGCCCCTCTCTCCCCCTGCATTCGCCCCTCTCTCTCCCTGCATTCGCCCCTCTCGCTCCCTACATTCGCCCCTCTCGCTCACTGCATTCGCCCCTCTCACCCCCTGCATTCGCCCCTCTCTCCCCCTGCATTCGCCCCTCTCTCTCCCTGCATTCGCCCCTCTCTCCCCCTGCATTCGCCCCTCTCTACCCCTGCATTCGGCCCTCTCTACCCCTGCATTCGCCCCTCTCGCTCCCTGCATTCGCCCCTCTCGCTCCCTGCATTCGCCCCTCTCGCTCCCTGCATTGGCCTCTCTCTCCCCCTGCATTCGCCCCTCTCTCCCCCTGCATTCGCCCCTCTCTCTCCCTGCATTCGCCCCTCTCTCCCCCCTGCATTCGCCCCTCTCTCTCCCTGCATTCGCCCCTCTCTCCCCCTGCATTCGCCCCTCTCTACCCCTGCATTCGGCCCTCTTTACCCCTGCATTCGCCCCTCTCGCTCCCTGCATTCGCCCCTCTCGCTCCCTGCATTCGCCCCTCTCGCTCCCTGCATTCGCCCCTCTCTCCCCCTGCATTCGCCCCTCTCTCTCCCTGCATTCGCCCCTCTCGCTCCCTGCATTCGCCCCTCTCGCTCACGGCATTCGCCCCTCTCACCCCATGCATTCGCCCCTCTCTCCGCCAACATTCGCCCCTCTCTCTCCCAGCATTCGCCCCTCTCTCCCCCTGCATTCGCCCCTCTCTACCCCTGCATTCGGCCCTCTCTACCCCTGCATTCGCCCCTCTCGCTCCCTGCATTCGCCCCTCTCGCTCCCTGCATTCGCCCCTCTCGCTCCCTGCATTCGCCCCTCTCTCCCCCTGCATTCGCCCCTCTCTCCCCCTGCATTCGCCCTTCTCTCTCCCTGCATTCGCCTCTCTCGCTCCCTGCATTCGCCCCTCTCGCTCCCTGCATTCGCCCCTCTCTCTCCCTGCATTCGCCCCTCTCGCTCCCTGCATTCGCCCCTCTCTCCTTTTGCATTTGCCCCTCTCCCCCCCAGCATACGCCCCTCTCTCTCCCTGCATTCGCCCCTCTCGCTCCCTGCATTCGCCCCTCTCGCTCCCTGCTATGCCCCTCTCTCTCTCCCTGCATTCGCCCCTCTCTCCCCCTGCATTCGCCCCTCTCTCCCCCTGCATTCGCCCCTCTCGCTCCCTGCATTGGCCCCTCTCTCTCCCTGCATTCGCCCCTCTCGCTCCCTGCATTCGCCCCTCTCGCTCCCTGCATTCGCCCCTCTCCCCCCCTGCATTCGCCCCTCTCTCCCCCTGCATTCGCCCCTCTCTCCCCCTGCATTGGCCCCTCTCGCTCCCTGCATTCGCCCCTCTCTCCCCCAGCATTCGCCCCTCTCTCCCCCTGGACTCGCCCCTCTCTCTCCTTGCATTCGCCCCTCTCTCCCCCTGCATTCGCCCCTCTCTCCCCCTGCATTCGTCCCTCTCGCTCCCTGCATTCGCCCCTCTCACTCCCTGCATTCGCCCCTCTCGCTCCCTGCATTCTCCCCTCTCTCCCCCTGCATTCGCCCCTCTCACCCCCTGCATTCGCCCCTCTCTCCCCCTGCATTCGCCCCTCTCTCTCCCTGCAGTCGCCCCTCTCTCCCCCTGCATTCGCCCCTCTCTACCCCTGCATTCGGCCCTCTCTACCCCTGCATTCGCCCCTCTCGCTCCCTGCATTCGCCCCTCTCGCTCCCTGCATTCGCCCCTCTCGCTCCCTGCATTTGCCCCTCTCTCCCCCTGCATTCGCCCCTCTCTCCCCCTGCATTTGCCCATCTCTCTCCTTGCATTCGCCCCTCTCGCTCCCTGCATTCGCCCCTCTCGCTCCCTGCATTCGCCCCTCTCTCTCCCTGCATTCGCCCCTCTCGCTCCCTGCATTCGCCCCTCTCTCCTTTTGCATTTGCCCCTCTCTCCCCCTACATACGCCCCTCTCTCTCCCTGCATTCGCCCCTCTCGCTCCCTGCATTCGCCCCTCTCGCTCCCTGCTATGCCCCTCTCTCTCTCCCTGCATTCGCCCCTCTCTCCCCCTGCTTTCGCCCCTCTCTCCCCTTGCATTCGCCCCTCTATCTCCCTGCATTGGCCCCTCTCTCTCCCTGCATTCGCCCCTCTCGCTCCCTGCATTCGCCCCTCTCGCTCCCTGTATTCGCCCCTCTCCCCCCCTGCATTCGCCCCTCTCTCCCCCTGCATTCGCCCCTCTCTCCCCCTGCATTGGCCCCTCTCGCTCCCTGCATTCGCCCCTCTCTCCCCCTGCATTCGCCCCTCTCTCCCCTTGGATTCGCCCCTCTCTCTCCTTGCATTCGCCCCTCTCTCCCCCTACATTCGCCCCTCTCTCCCCCTGCATTCGTCCCTCTCGCTCCCTGCATTCGCCCCTCTCACTCCCTGCATTCGCCCCTCTCGCTCCCTGCATTCTCCCCTCTCTCCCCCTGCATTCGCCCCTCTCACCCCCTGCATTCGCCCCTCTCGCTCCCTGCATTCGCCCCTCTCCCCCCCTGCATTCGCCCCTCTCTCCCCCTGCATTCGCAACTCTCTCCCCCTGCATTGGCCCCTCTCGCTCCCTGCATTCGCCCCTCTCTCCCCCTGCATTCGCCCCTCTCTCCCCCTGGATTCGCCCCTCTCTCTCCTTGCATTCGCCCCTCTCTCCCCCTGCATTCGCCCCTCTCTCTCCCTGCATTTGCCCCTCTCGCTCCCTGCATTCGCCCCTCTCTCTCCCTGCATTCGCCCCTCTCGCTCCCTGCATTCGCCCCTCTCTCCCCTGCATTCACCCCTCTCTCCCTCTGCATTCGCCCCTCTCTCCCCCTGCATTCGCCCCTCTCTCTCCCTGCATTCGCCCCTCTCTCTCCCTGCATTCGCCCCTCTCGCTCCCTGCATTCGCCCCTCTCGCTCCCTGCATTCGCCCCTCTCTCCCCCTGCATTCGCCCCTCTCTCCCCCTGCATTCGCCCCTCTCTCCCCCTGCATTGGCCCCTCTCACTCCCTGCATTCGCCCCTCTTGCTCCATGCATTCGCCCCTCTCTCCCCCTGCATTCGCCCCTCTCTCCCCCTGGATTCGCCCCTCTCTCTCCATGCATTCGCCCCTCTCTCCCCCTGCATTCGCCCCTCTCTCCCCCTGCATTCGCCCCTCTCGCTCCCTGCATTCGCCCCTCTCACTCCCTGCATTCGCCCCTCTCGCTCCCTGCATTCGCCCCTCTCTCCCCCCGCATTCGCCCCTCACTCCCCCTGCATTCGCCCCTCTCTCTCCCTGCATTGGCCCCTCTCTCTCCGTGCATTCGCCCCTCTCGCTCCCTGCATTCGCCCCTCTCGCTCCCTGCATTCGCCCCTCTCACTCCCTGCATTCGCCCCTCTCGCTCCCTGCATTTGCCCCTCTCTCCACCTGCATTCGCCCCTCTCTCCCCCTGCATTCGCCCCTCTCTCCCCCTGCATTCGCCTCTCTCTCTCCCTGCATTCGCCCCTCTCTCCCTCTGCATTGGCCCCTCTCGCTCCCTGCATTCGCCCCTCTCTCTCCCTTCATTCGCCCCTCTCGCTCCCTGCATTCGCCCCTCTCCCTCCCTGCATTCGCCCCTCTCTCCCTTTGCATTCGCCCCTCTCTCCCCCTGCATTCGCCCCTCTCTCTCCCTGCATTCGCCCCTCTCGCTCCCAGCATTCGCCCCTCTCACCCCGTGCATTCGCCCCTCTCTCCCCCTGCATTCGCCCCTCTCTCTCCCTGCATTCGCCCCTCTCTCCCCCTGCATTCGCCCCTCTCTACCCCTGCATTCGGCCCTCTCTACCCCTGCATTTGCCCCTCTCGCTCCCTGCATTCGCCCCTCTCGCTCCCTGCATTCGCCCCTCTTGCTCCCTCCATTCGCCCCTCTCTCCCCCTGCATTCGCCCCTCTCTCCCCCTGCATTCGCCCCTTTCTCTCCCTGCATTCGCCCCTCTCGCTCCCTGCATTCGCCCCTCTCGCTCCCTGAATTCGCCCCTCTCTCCCTTTGCATTCGCCCCTCTCTCCCCCTGCATTCGCCCCTCTCTCTCCCTGCATTCGCCCCTCTCTCCCCCTGCATTCGCCCCTCTCTACCCCTGCATTCGGCCCTCTCTACCCCTGCATTCGCCCCTCTCGCTCCCTGCATTCGCCCCTCTCGCTCCCTGCATTCGCCCCTCTCGCTCCCTGCATTGGCCTCTCTCTCCCCCTGCATTCGCCCCTCTCTCCCCCTGCATTCGCCCCTCTCTCTCCCTGCATTCGCCCCTCTCTCCCCCCTGCATTCGCCCCTCTCTCTCCTTGCATTCGCCCCTCTCTCCCCCTGCATTCGCCCCTCTCTACCCCTGCATTCGGCCCTCTTTACCCCTGCATTCGCCCCTCTCGCTCCCTGCATTCGCCCCTCTCGCTCCCTGCATTCGCCCCTCTCGCTCCCTGCATTCGCCCCTCTCTCCCCCTGCATTCGCCCCTCTCACTCCCTGCATTCGCCCCTCTCGCTCCCTGCATTCGCCCCTCTCGCTCACGGCATTCGCCCCTCTCACCCCGTGCATTCGCCCCTCTCTCCGCCAACATTCGCCCCTCTCTCTCCCTGCATTCGCCCCTCTCTCCCCCTGCATTCGCCCCTCTCTACCCCTGCATTCGGCCCTCTCTACCCCTGCATTCGCCCCTCTCGCTCCCTGCATTCGCCCCTCTCGCTCCCTGCATTCGCCCCTCTCGCTCCCTGCATTCGCCCCTCTCTCCCCCTGCATTCGCCCCTCTCTCCCCCTGCATTCGCCCTTCTCTCTCCCTGCATTTGCCTCTCTCGCTCCCTGCATTCGCCCCTCTCGCTCCCTGCATTCGCCCCTCTCTCTCCCTGCATTCGCCCCTCTCGCTCCCTGCATTCGCCCCTCTCTCCTTTTGCATTTGCCCCTCTCCCCCCCAGCATACGCCCCTCTCTCTCCCTGCATTCGCCCCTCTCGCTCCCTGCATTCGCCCCTCTCGCTCCCTGCTATGCCCCTCTCTCTCTCCCTGCATTGGCCCCTCTCTCTCCCTGCATTCGCCCCTCTCGCTCCCTGCATTCGCCCCTCTCGCTCCCTGCATTCGCCCCTCTCCCCCCCTGCATTCGCCCCTCTCTCCCCCTGCATTCGCCCCTCTCTCCCCCTGCATTGGCCCCTCTCGCTCCCTGCATTCGCCCCTCTCTCCCCCTGCATTCGCCCCTCTCTCCCCCTGGATTCGCCCCTCTCTCTCCTTGCATTCGCCCCTCTCTCCCCCTGCATTCGTCCCTCTCGCTCCCTGCATTCGCCCCTCTCACTCCCTGCATTCGCCCCTCTCGCTCCCTGCATTCTCCCCTCTCTCCCCCTGCATTCGCCCCTCTCACCCCCTGCATTCGCCCCTCTCTCCCCCTGCATTCGCCCCTCTCTCTCCCTGCAGTCGCCCCTCTCTCCAACTGCATTCGCCCCTCTCTACCCCTGCATTCGGCCCTCTCTACCCCTGCATTCGCCCCTCTCGCTCCCTGCATTCGCCCCTCTCGCTCCCTGCATTCGCCCCTCTCGCTCCCTGCATTCGCCCCTCTCTCCCCCTGCATTCGCCCCTCTCTCCCCCTGCATTTGCCCCTCTCTCTCCTTGCATTCGCCCCTCTCGCTCCCTGCATTCGCCCCTCTCGCTCCCTGCATTCGCCCCTCTCTCTCCCTGCATTCGCCCCTCTCGCTCCCTGCATTCGCCCCTCTCTCCTTTTGCATTTGCCCCTCTCTCCCCCTACATACGCCCCTCTCTCTCCCTGCATTCGCCCCTCTCGCTCCCTGCATTCGCCCCTCTCGCTCCCTGCTATGCCCCTCTTTCTCTCCCTGCATTCGCCCCTCTCTCCCCCTGCTTTCGTCCCTCTCTCCCCCTGCATTCGCCCCTCTATCTCCCTGCATTGGCCCCTCTCTCTCCCTGCATTCGCCCCTCTCGCTCCCTGCATTCGCCCCTCTCGCTCCCTGCATTCGCCCCTCTCCCCCCCTGCATTCGCCCCTCTCTCCCCCTGCATTTGCCCCTCTCTCCCCCTGCATTGGCCCCTCTCGCTCCCTGCATTCGCCCCTCTCTCCCCCTGCATTCGCCCCTCTCTCCCCTTGGATTCGCCCCTCTCTCTCCTTGCATTCGCCCCTCTCTCCCCCTGCCTCGTCCCTCTCTCCCCCTGCATTCGTCCCTCTCGCTCCCTGCATTCGCCCCTCTCACTCCCTGCATTCGCCCCTCTCGCTCCCTGCATTCTCCCCTCTCTCCCCCTGCATTCGCCCCTCTCACCCCCTGCATTCGCCCCTCTCGCTCCCTGCATTCGCCCCTCTCCCCCCCTGCATTCGCCCCTCTCTCCCCCTGCATTCGCCCCTCTCTCCCCCTGCATTGGCCCCTCTCGCTCCCTGCATTCGCCCCTCTCTCCCCCTGCATTTGCCCCTCTCTCCCCCTGGATTCGCCCCTCTCTCTCCTTGCATTCGCCCCTCTCTCCCCCTGCATTCGCCCCTTTCTCCCCCTGCATTCGTCCCTCTCGCTCCCTGCATTCGCCCCTCTCGCTCCCTGCATTCGCCCCTCTCACTCCCTGTGCCGCTTCACCCCACTGCACCACTTGACCCCTGCAGGTACCTCTACCGTGCATTGAGAACAGGGGATGCAGCGCTGTGTGCGCGGGTGCTGCGGGTGCACAAGAAGCTGACGGAGAACGCGGGGCTTGGCAGCATCATTCGCGTATGGCTGGCCGCAAGCACACCGTCTAGTCTAGTGTACTGTACACTGCATCCTCTCTATGTGTCTATAATACATACTATTGTTTTGTACGGTGTTGGTGCAGGTTCTCTCATACATCGTACAGACAAGTGAAGTGTCAAGCCTTGGCTATGCAGGATCACCGTACTAGAAAGGTACCTACAGGTCCTCATCATATGGTTGATCCCACTGGCTGTGCGGTCTCCGTAGCCCTGGCTGATCCTATTTCTGGACCAGTCACTGCTTGCAATACGTCTACGCTTCCGTGCCTGGCTGTTCCCTCGGGTTTCCTGACCGGCTTCCATGTCCCCTCGTTCTCCAGGAACTTGGTGGGTGTGAGGCCGCTTGTCAACAGTCATGTAGGTGTTTGGTTTGAGCCTTCTGGGGACTCTACGACCAGTGTAGACGGTGACACGTACGCGCCCCTGGCCACCTTTGATGCTGAGTCGGGCTCTGGTCTCTACACACTTCACACTGGCCCCCAAGAGAGGCAGAAGTAGCAGCTGCCTCCGACCCTTGTCACTGCCCTCCGTCAGGTCCTTGCGTCTCACCAGGTTGCCGCCTCCCACCAGGTAGCTGTGTCTGGTCTGGTTCCAGCGTCTGGTCCGGTTGCTGCGTCTTGCTCGTGTCGGTCGCTTGCCCACCCCACCACTTTGTACCACCACCGTCTTGGTCACCCGTCCATTCCTCGCATGCGTGCTATGTCTAGTCAGCGTCTTGTCTTAGGCCTCCCGCGAGTCTTGCAGAGTCCCCACAGCAGAATGGGGTTTCTGAGCGCCGCATAGGCTTGGTCATGGATATCGCACGCACCTCCATGATTCACGCCCGTGCGCCCTATTTTCTATGGCCATACGCGGTTCGGTACGCCTCTCACCAGCTGAACCTCTGGCCTCGTGTCTCCCAGCCAGGGTCTTCACCTACTAGTCTTTGGACCGGGTCCCCTGTTGTTGTGTCGCGTTTTCATGTCTGGGGCTGCTTGGCACTTGTTCGCGACACCTCCGCGGACAAGATCTCGCCTCGCGCCATTCCCTGTGTCTTCCTTGGTGTCCTCGAGGACTCCTCTGGCTTCACCTTTTACCACCCTCCCCTTCACCGATTCTTTGACTCCCGTGACGTCCGTTTTGACAAGTCAGTCCCCTACTACACCCGGTACCCCTGTTGAGGTCTCCCGGTTTCTCCTCCCCCTCTCTTCGTGACTCCCGCTCCCCCTCCTACTCCTCCGATACAGACCCCCCCCCCCCGGTCAAGCCCCGTCATGTGTGTCACACGCTCTCCCCCCCCCCCCTTGGTAGCCCCTTTGTTGCCATCCCCTTCCCCACAGTCCTCCTCACAGCCTACTGCAGACCCTGCGGGAGCTGATGTTCGTGTCGAGGACCCAGGAGGTGCTAGCTCTGAAGGTGTTGGTGTTGGAGCTGAGAGTGTACCTGTACGAGGTCCTGGTTCTGGGGGTGCTGGAGCTGGGGCTGAGCCAATGTCTGCAGGAGGTTCTAGTCTTCGGGGAGCTGGTGTTAGTCGAGCTGTTCTTGGGGGTTCTACGACTGCGAGTGTGGGTGCGCCCTCTACGGGATCTGGAGAGTCTGGTGCTGACCGTGTTGCTTCTGGTGGTGCTGGCTCTGGGGGTGGTGCGAATGGTGCTTTGGAGAGCGGTCCCGGGGCTACCACCGCCCTTGACACTACTCCTCCCCCCCACCCCTACTCGACCCGGCACCAGGCCCGTCTTCGCCGTGCACGTGAGGAGCAGCTGGAGTTGGAGCGAGAGGGGCTAGAGTTGGAGCGGCAATAGCTAGAGCTAGAGGAGCAGCAGTAGTAGCCGCCGCAGCTGGAGGAGCAGCAGCCGCCGCCACCGCGGCAGGAGCAGGAGCAGCAGCCACCTCCACCTCCTATCTCTGGCCTTCGGACCCTCGATCTCCCCTCTCCCTCTCCTCCCCCCTCCCCCTCTCCTCCTGTCTAGGATCCCATGTTTCCTCCTCCTGACCCCACCCCTGCTGTTTTCCGCTGTTCTCAGCCTCCGTTGTCCCCTCCTCTTTCTCACACTTGGGCTTCTCGCTCTCCTCGTGCTCGTCCATCGTCCCCTATCCCTGTCACTAGCCTTCGTACTGTCCTGTTCCATTCTAATCTGCCTCGTTCATCTCCGGCTGTGCTTCCTTCTCCTCCTGAGTCAGCCCTCACTTCTTCCCCCTCTACTCCTGTCACTGACTACTTCCACACGTACCGTCCTGTTCTCTCGCATGTTCTTGCCTCTCTTGTGACACACCCTCGTGCCTCTCTGTCATCTGTCTCCGCCCTTACTGCCGCAGTCACTGAGTTTGCCACTACTTGCCACCTTGACTACGCCACTCGTGTCATGGGTGCTCCTCCTACCAGTCCTCTGGCTGTCGGGGGTGAGTATGCCCTTAGCTGTAACGCCCTAGAGGATAGGCAATTTGAGCTGAAGTTCCTGGCAGCCACTTCCCCTCATCTCTGTGCCATGCTGCTCGCCCCTGAGGGAGACCCCGACACCCCTTGACATACCGACTCCTCGCACTTACGCTGAGGCAGTGTCAGGGCCTTGGGCCTCTCAATGGAGAGCTACCATAGACGCAGGGATGGCCTCCTACAGATCCACAGGCACCTACGTTGACGAGGTTCCCCCCCCTCAGGCGAAGGTAGTCAATGGCATGTGGATCTTCAGTTTGAAGCGGCCACCGGGATCCCCTCCGGTCTTCAAGGTGCGCTATGTGGCTAGAGGTTTCAGTCAGCGCGAGGGAGTTGTCTTCTTTCATACCTTCGCGCCTACCCCGAAGATGACCACTCTTCGGGTGTTACTGCACGTAGGAGCACGATACGAGTTACACACTCTCGACTTCTTCCCTGCCTTCCTTCAGGGTAGCCTACACGAGGAGGTCTCGTTGCGTCGCCCCTCTGCCTTCACTGGCAATTTCCCTCCTAGGACCCAGTGGAGACTGAGGTGAGCGGTCCACGGTCTCCGTCAGGTGCCTCGTGAGTGGCACGACACCTTTCGCTCTACCCTGTCTGACCTCGGTTTCTAGCCATCTTCTGCCGACCCGTCGTTGTTAGTTTGTCGTGGCTCCACACCGTTCTTTGTACTGGTCTACGTCGACGACCTGGTCTTTGCCACTGCTGACATGGTTGCTTTGGCTAGCGTGAAATCTGAACTGTAGAAGAGACACACGTGTACTGACCTTGGTGAGCTGCGCCACTACCTAGGCCTACAGGTCACCAGGGACAGAGCCGCTCGCACCATTACACTCTCACAGTCGCACATGGTGCAGCAGGTCCTTCAGCGGTTCGAGCTTCAGCACTCCACTGTACAGCGCACACCTCTTGGTGTTGACCATAGACTCACTGGACCCTTTCCTGACGAGCCGTTTGAGCCTATTGGTCCTTACGCAGAGCTTGTGGGCTGCCTCATGTACCTGATGACTTGTACTCGCTCGGACCTCGCCTTCCCTCTTAGCATCCTTGCTCGCTTTGTTGCGCCACGGAGACACCGTCCTGTTCACTGGACAACTGCTGTGAGGTTGGCAAAGTACTTAGCGACGACATCAGGCGTGGGGCTGGTACTTGGAGGGAGACAGCTTGTCGTACTTACTAGTCACTGTGACTCTTACGCTGACGACGTCGAGACTCACAGGTCTACTTAGGGGTACTGCTTCAGCCTGGGCTCTTGAGCTGTTTCGTAGAGGTCCACGCGTTCCTCCTCTGTCTCGACCTCTACCGCTGAGGCTGACATCAATGCTGGAGCCATGGCTGCACAGGAGCTACGTTGGTTGACCTTCTTGCTCACCGACCTTGGTGAGTGGCCGAGCTCTGCACTGGCCTTGTTCACTGACAACAAGGCGACGATTCTACTCTGTCAAGAGCCTCAACTGCACAGCAGAGTGAATCACATCAATGTCGCTTACTTTCTTCTGCGAGAGTCGCAGAAGCGTGGACAGGCTTGCTTCGACTTTGTGGAGTCCGAGACCAACACTGCAGACATCTTCACCAAGGCCCTTCCACCTTGTGACCACCACAGGTGTTGTGTGCAGTTAGGTCTCGTTGACGCAGGTTCTCGTCTTGTGTAGACTTGAGTTCTCTGCTTGATATGTTTGTACACTTAGTATATACCTCTGTGAACTCTTGGACTGGCCTTGTGGCTCTTTTGCTTGTGCGTGGACTGTGTGGTGACGTTGTGATCCACCCTGAGCTTTGCTTCTTTGTAACTGGTCTTGTGACCATACGGTTTTGGTTTTGCTTGACACCCCTCACTTAGCCAAGTGACTGACTCCTATGTATTTTCCACGGCAATTTAGCACGTGGCGTACCACATTCCTTCCCATTTCCTTGTTTGCCTAGACTGAACCCACCGGTATACTGTATGGATGAAACATGAACATGGGTTGCCAAAATGATGCAGTTGTAACGCGTGACTGTTTATTCCGTAATGCATATGCCGGATTATGTTATGGTGGATAATGCATAGATGAAGTATAATGATGGATATGGTGAACAAAATATTGAATGCGAAATGCATAAATATAATGCATGTGCTACTGTGGTGAATCTAGTATAGGTTTCAATATAAGTCGAGTGCAGTGAAATGAATGCATAGCATGATGGAAATGCGCAGCAATAAATTGACCCAGACCCTATGCTACCGCGTACCTTGCCTAGCATAGGGGGGAGCTCAATAGCATTGTTCCTGAATCATCCAACTGTTACATGAAACAACACAATCTGTGTAAACTAAAAAAATGATCAAGATCCATCAAATCCACTCACGAAGTGGGCGAAGAACCTTCTCGGAATTGACAGGTCGACCTTTTTTTTTTTTTTTTTTTTTTTAATCAACAGATGCGTATTGATAATACAATGATAGATGCATATGGATAAGTGTGCACACACAAAGACGCATACTGTCAGAATCCCAACCACTAAACCATTGGGATAAAAGGGCTTGTTAAGTAGCGGGTCAGTGCGCCCATAACCCCCCAGGCCAACATGCCTGTAACCCTTCCCTAGGATCGATCGGGGATCACCAGTGGACCTCTGACACCCCCCCGCACTGGGATGCCCGAAGTGCATACATCGGGATTCGAACCCGAGACCGCTCTGATACCATGTCAGAATCCCAACCACTAAACCATTGGGATAAAAGGGCTTGTTAAGTAGCGGGTCAGTGCGCCCATAACCCCCCAGGCCAACATGCCTGTAACCCTTCCCTAGGATCGATCGGGGATCACCAGTGGACCTCTGATACATACACACTGATGCATATACTGACATGCACACACAAAAACGCAAACAGAATCATAAAATAAACCCAAAAGAAATCTAACATAGCAATACAGTAGCACCAATCATACATACAAGAATATTTCTACATTCATTAGCCTTGGTTTTCGAATGGTACATCAAAGACTCTGGGGGAGAAAGGGGGGGGGGTGTCAAACATTATATGTTTGTGTGGTTCTAGGCTGTAGTGGGTCACACCATAAGGGGTACACCAGATTAGGGT